CACCTTCTCGCACGCGCCGCGAAAGTACGGCCATTGCGGCGGCGCCACGTTCGCGTCTAGCACGACTCTGGGCGTCTGCGCGTCTTCGAGCGCCACTTCGGACGCGTATTGTAGTCGAGGCTGAAAAAAAAGAGGGAGAGAGAGAGAGAGAGAGAGGGAGAGAGAGAGGGAAGAGACGGAGAGAGAGAAAGTGAAGCCACAACGTCAACGCTCGGTCTTCGGGTCTTAGGGCAAGTCCGGCTGCAACCACGCCTTGGCAATCCAGTTGGCTTTTTGCCCCCCTTCTTTTGCCCCCACGCCTCTCGACCACCTCTTGTACCCTGTCCTGCCCTACTGACGCTGCACTTCTATCGTACTTCACTCCCTCTCCATGCTCCCTTCTCCCCTCTTGCCCCTAGTGATCTTCTTTCTGTCCCTTCCCCCCCCCCCCCTCCTTCCCGGGTTACGCTGCGTTCCCCACTGTGGCTTTTTGCTTCCCCCAAAAATGACACACACACACTCACCACCAACTCGCGCAGCTCAGCGCGCGCGCCTCTAGCGCCCTTGACCGCGGCCAGCATGTCTTTCTGCAGCGAGGCATTCGCCAGCAGTGCGTCGTCTAGCGCGGCTCGTTGCGCCAGCAGCGTGGCTATGACTGCGTCTGCGGCGCCGTGCGTCGATTCGGATTCTCGCGGCAAGGTTGCGGGTGCATGTGGCGCGATGGTGCTGCTCGCAGCAGCAGCAGTAGAGGTTGAAGCAGATGTAGAGCCGAGCGCGAGCGACGAGGAGGTATGGCCACCGCCGCCGCCGACGCCGACGGAGGAGGAGGAGGAATCGGCAGAAAGCAGCGAAGCAGAGAGTTCATCCAGCCACGAAAGGTTGGCCGCCTCTGCACTGCCCCATTCGATGGCCTGCGACTGCGCTGCATCGGCCATGATTTCGCTCGCGCCTCGGGGGGGGGGGGGGGGGGGGGGGGGGGGGGCAGAGCGAGGCGAGCGAGCGAGCGAGAGAGAGAGAGGGCACAGACCTCAAGGGGGGGGGGGGGGGGGAAGCGGGGGCAAGCGGGCGCGGCGTGCTCGTAGAGGGGCAGACGGGAGAGAGAAGTGTCGATTTGCCTGCCGGCGCGCGCACGAAGAGCGAGCTCAGCTTGCGCACGGCTTAGGAACACATGTGAAATGCGGCAGCTCGGGCGTCTGGCGCTCTGATGGCGCAAGTGCGAAGGCGTGGGGATGGGGAATGGGGGAGGTGTGGAGAGGAAGCAAGCTGAATCACGACTGAAGTGACTGCGCGTCTTGTGGAGGCGCGCCGCCGCGCCGCCGCCGCCGCCGTCTTTCGCTGCGCGTCTTTCTCTGCGCGCTTGCTTTCCCCACCACCACCACCACCACGCATCGCCCGCTTTCCTTCTCTCTTCTCACAGAGAGATGTCCTACTTCCTCGTGCATCTCCCCTCCGGCTGGCATGTGGACCAGGCCATTCTCACCGAGGAGGAGCGCGTCGTGTGCATCCGCTTCGGCAGCGATGCCGACCCGACGTGCATGAAGATGGACGAGACGCTCTATGGCATCGCCGAACGCGTCAAGAACTTCTGCCAGATCTTCCTCGTCGATATTAAGGAGGTGCCGGACTTTAATAAAGTGAGTACAGGCGAGAGGCAGGGGCTGGCGTGGGGTAGAAGAGAGGCGAGGGGGAGGCGATCAGGGGAAGCGAGAGAAGGGGGGCAAGTAGCGGCGC